GGAATGACCAATCAAAATACAAGTATATGAAAAATACTTGACAACAAACTTTGTTTAATACCTTAATGTTATGGTTAGACTAGAAATCATTCTAATTGATTAATCTTAAATTTTACTATAAAATTGAAAATAAAAATTAACAATTTTAAATTTAACCTGTATTAAGTTTAGAATATTATAAAATTATTTAAAGAAGGAACAGAGGAAAAAATACATATATTTTATTATTTATTTTGTTTTAATCGAAAAGCCAAAATCTCAGAGCAAACGCGAATCTAAGGAGATACAAATATTGCAACAACTTAGATACATTTGAAGTGATGATATGAGCAAAGGAAGAAATTTTACAAAATGACAATAGATATACAATCATAATTATAATATACAAAACAAAAAACACGGACGAAACAGGAAATCGATGCCCACGACCAACAAAAGGAAATATAATATCCAACGCATATATATATATATATATATATATATATATATATATATATATATATATATAAGCACATAGACATATACATAGACAAACCCCACAAAGATTCAAGTCTGAATTATTATAAAACGCAGATTGTGTGTGTGTGTGTGTGTGTGTGTGTGTGTGTGTGTGTGTGTGTGTGTGTGCGCGCGTTTATATATGGGATCGGATTTCCTACATTTTTCAACCGATTTCAACAAAAGTCCACAGGACTACGTAAAATTACCTTACGGTGGTTCTGACAGCACCAAAAATTGGAAAAACACAATTGTTTTTGCATGAAATCAATTTGAAAACACGATTAAGAGACATAGTGAAAATGGAAGGGGGACAACTCATATTGAGTTATACTTATAAAACCCAGGTTGTTTGTGTGTGTGTTCGTTTATATATGGGATTGGATTTCCTACATTTTTCAACCGATTTCAACAAAATTTCACTTTTTCTTTTTTTTTTTTTTTTTGGCAGGTAGTCTTTCTTATTGTCTTGCACACTTTTTTCTTTATGTTTACATTCAGAATGCTTTAAAAATTCCATTTACAAGGCAATTGTTTATAATAAAATTCTATTCAATCGGTAGACTCATAACGATTGAAAACAATGTTTTTGACCAATTCGTAAAAAAAAAAAAAAACGAATTAAGACATGCGTATCCGTCAACCTTAAACAATAATCTTTGTCAATTTTATTTTTCAGTCTTTATGATGGTCGATACTTGATCTATCTCTTACTGTTACATCCCCGGGCAACACCGGGCTCTGCTGCTAGTTATTAATAAGCAAATGCAAACTATTTAAAATATTACTTATATGCGCAAAGATATATAGATAAAAAGAGGGTTTAATAGATAAGCGTTAAGAGGGGTTGAATAGAAAAACAAACCAAAGAAAAAAGACAATTAAACATATACAAATGGACAGACATAACACACACACACACACACACACACACACACACACACACACACACACACACACACACACACACACACACAAAGAAAAAAAATCCGCCAAATTCGAATGTCCAGTCAAAATTCAACATGGTAAATAAAACCAGTCTTATAGAAAAGAAATCTTGTTGACACACAAATATATACAAATTCCTTACATACGTATGAGTACACATGAAAACATACACTGGTACAAACATATAAAAATATATAAATAAATGCACATATGTACATACACATGCGTCCATACAAATACATACATACACAAATATACACACATACACACACGCACACACACACACACACACACACACACACACACACACACACACACATACATACACACACACATACATATACATATATATATATATATATATATATATATATATATATATGAAGAAAAATATACGGAAAAAACAAACAAAATCCTTATATGCAATTATGCTGTATTAATGTCAATATAATGTCAACATCGGACGTTTCGATCTAATAAACCATCTTCAGGACATATTCATAAGCAAAAAATATGAATATGTCCTGAAGATGGTTTATTAGACCGAAACGTCCGACGTTGACATTATATTAACATTAAAACAGCATAATTGCATATAAGGATTTTTGTTTGTTTTTTCTGTATATTTTTCTTCATACTGTCGGATCTATATCCATATATTTGCTTATATATATATATATATATATATACACATACATACACATACATACACACACAAATTAATACCAACATATCAAACACAGCTACATATAAAAAACACAGAAAAATAAACCAGCACACCGACATACAGTTGCAGATACAAATATCTTAGTATATACACTCATATAAAAATAAATTCATGAAATTTTGAGAAATTAGATTTTTAAGAGGGGGATTTTTTTTATTAGTTAATAACAATGATCTTTGGAGAAAGTAAATCAACATTTTTATTTTTTTTCATCGAAAACCTGCTCTGAATTTCAAAATAAAAAAATGAACTAAAACTTTGACATTATTTAATTAGAAAAGCTTTTGTAAATAAGTTATATTAAGGACACTATTGTCTGAAGAAATAAAATTTTTTCAATGAATAATGAATTTTTACAAGAATTTTTTCATTTTTTAAAATTTTAATTATAATAATATAATAGTTCAAAAATCGTTTAAAATTCTTAATTGCTTTCAAGAATTCAATTTGGTGATATCACTAAGTGAAAAGTAAATTTACGAATCAAAATTTGAAAACCTCATAACTGTCGCTTGTGCCCGAATATTTTAAAAATAATTTTAAAAAAAATTTTAGTGAAAAAAAAACGTTCCTAATTTCTACCTGTGGGAATCTATACATGACATAATCCTTAAAAAGTCACATGATTTAAGTGTTGTTTGATGCACTGCAATTATTTCACTTTTAATTCAGTTCTGCTTCATCATTAATGTCTTTGCAAATCATCCCTTCAAAATATCAAAAAAGAAAAAAGAAAAGAAAAAGAAAGATTTTTTACTTTTCTTAATTACTATTTCACTAAATATTTTTATTTTATGTATTTATTTTACTTTGAGTCATACTTCAATTAATTATTTTTTGTTTAAGGTAGTAAACTTAAGAAGATCGAGATGAAACAGCTAAAAGTCAATAAAATATTAAATAATTGCTGAAAATATGTTAATTTGTAAAAATTACTAGGTAGTTAAAAATTAAAAAAATGTTTTCACTTAGTTTTCGTAAATTACTTGAAATAATAAATTTAATCATTTAGCTCACAATTAAAACTAGATTGAAATCTTCAAGAATGATTTACATTTTTAAAATTTAATTTTAAAACTTAGGTATCGAAAATTCAGTGAAGTTACCTATATAACGTTTTTGTTATAATTTTTGAAAAAATTATACATATATATATATATATATATATAGAAAAGTGAACATTGCCGTCAACACTTAAAGGTAACAGTCTGTTTCATGCTAGACACAATCGTCAGATGGCCTGACGATTGCGTCTAACATGAAACAGCCTGTCGCTTTTAAGTGTTGACGGCAATGTTCACTTTTATATTTACACACGCTCTATCTCTGATATTGAGCAATTTATCCCATAAATATAGCACACCTTAAGACTATATTTTTCATATTGTATGTATATATATATATATATATATATATATATATATATGAGAGATAATGAGATATATATATTGAAACATTTAAATTCGACGTATACATGCCACTTGCCATGTTGATATCTATGTCACATTGTTTCTCTCTCTCATTATCTCTCTCATATATATATATATATATATATATATATATATATATATATATATATATATAAGAGATAATGAAAGAGAGAGAGAGAGAGAGAGAAACAATGTGGACATAGATATCAACATGGTAAGTGCCATGTATACGTCGAATATTATTTGATTTATCGCTACAGACAATGGTGAAATTCGAGACGCCACAAATATGTCGCTTATTGCTCTCAACACTTCGTCCTGTAAGATTTGAAAGTTGTTTGCCCAATATACAAGATGAAGATCAACAATTTTACAATTATGATTGATGCTGAACCTTCTAAGATGATTGAATGTCTGTTTTTTTTTGTTTTGTTTTTTTGTACGGTACAGATCTTTTGTTGTCGGGTGAAAGTGCCATGCTTTCCGCGTGTATATTCGAGGTTTTGTCAATTCAACTATGCATGACCCCGTTTCAAGGTACTCACCTCTACCCTCACAAGTGAATGCTTGTAAAACAAGCAAAGAGAGATTTAGAAACCCCCATCAACCAAACGTACACACGGATATAAATATTCGCCTTTTCAACCACGTTTCAAAATACAACGCATTCGTTGTTTTAACCATGACCGATTTCAAAACATCTGTGCCAGGAATTGATTGAAGCAGACGACATTTGTGCTTGTATATAAAAATGAAGGTTGACAAAAGGAGAAATTTAGTAAAAAAGGGCAATCGACAATACGTGTGTTTGACATTTATCAAGGAGTCGTCATTCAATACACATAGCCATGGTATTTTCGGGAATGACTTTCCGATGTTTGTCTAATCAATCCTCGCAAATTCTGTGCCTTTTTTTTTTAAATGTCACATCCTATCGAAAGAAATAATATATATTTTTTATTGAAGTACTCCATTTTCTTCTTTATTAACGTATCCTTTCGTGCTAAGAGCTACTACTGAAACATCTTCAAAGGATAAACGAAGTTTTATGGCATATCTTCTATATAATGGTCATATAATGCTAAGTATATCGAAGTAGTTAAGGGTGTATCTTGTAATAACGGATGTTTTATGACATATTAATTCCGACTTAATGGCTGTTGTCTTCTCATAGCGTTTAATTACTAAATCAAAAACACGTTCCAAGCAAATATATTTAAATGAAATTTCAAAGGTCATCTTGCAATTGAAACGGCTAGATGAAACCATAAGTTCTATGCTAACAATTTTTTTTTCATACTTCTCGCTTGTAGAACTCTCTTTCAACGGGAATTGAAACCCTGCTCTCCGATTAACAATTCAGAGCCATTATCCATTACACCAGCGGCACATCCAAGCTGACAGCACCTGGTATTCCAAAGCGGTCACCCATCTCGTACTGACCAGGATCGACGTTGCTTAAATTCAGTGATCGTACGGGAACCAATGTTTCAAAGTGATGTAGCCGTAAGTTATCCAAATTGCAAATCCAGACTTACAGCACCTGGTATTCCCAAGCGGTCACCCATCTCGTACTGACCAGTGAACGTGCGGGAACTTGTGTTTCGACGTGATATGGTCATAAGTCAAAAACTGATCTCTACAAGAAAGACATAAGCAATATTCTGATACAAAGACTTTTTGTGAAGTTAACGTCCATTTTTGAAAAGTTGGAAGGATGATGTGTATTTTTATTTTATTTTATTTTTCATCACTTCAACATAAGTAAGGCGATAATGCCACTAAGACGCAAAGGACTACAGAGTGTGTCAGAAATGAGGAGGAAAGACAATAAAAGAAGAGAATTCAGGAAGACAGAAGATGGTGATTGGTATTGCATTTAACTGTCTGTGTCTGTGTAGGTTATATCGCCGTCGTTGGCAGTACTCGTTGCCGAGTATAGGGATGCTCATCAACATATATATATATATATATGTGTGTGTGTGTTGATACAAGAGGAAAGAACTGTTAGACTGATTATCATAAGTTCTTTAGTATTTATGTTTTTATTTAAAAAAAAAACAGCGCTCGATACAGAAGTAGAACATGAATTATAATTATTTTTTAAAAATATGATTCCATCGCGACACAAAAAATGGAACTACTCTAAATTAGAATTGACTTAAAGGGAGGTAACTGATATTCGTTGCTTTGAAATTTTTCATGCAACAAAAACAGACTATCATTATTGTTTCGTCCGTGTATTGTTTGATATATTGAAAAGTAATTGTCATCTTTGATAATGGCTTATGTAAACCGAAAGCTTAGATTGAATTTAAACATGTATCAATATGGTGATTTCCTTTCGTCTTTCAATGATAATGTGATTAAGCTTATCAGAAAATATGAAAGGAACTTACTTAAAATAAATAGACAAAACTTGTCTATATTATTTAATGAAACATGCATTAATGAAAAATTGCTGCCTAAATATACACAACACACACACACACACACTCACGCACACACGCACACACACACACACACACACATATATATATTTTTGAGATGAGGTATTGTAATTATTTACATTATTTACATTGTTCGGACTGTTGTCCTCAACTTCGTTGTCATATTCACGACGCTTCGGCCGTTGTACGCTCCGGCCTTCTTCAGGTGATTGGAATTTCGAACCGAACCCTTTATTTCGTTCACCAGCGTAGATTGTTCTAGTTCTGGTCCCCAAAGAAAAAAGGCCCAGTGAATAAAAGCGTTGGTTGAAACCAGTGACTTGACCCAAAGAGTTGTGAGTTCAGTATCTATCTACTGCGGTAGTGAACAGAAACTTGAAGAGTTGAATTAAAGGGACGTAACTGATACTGAGACATCCGGAAAAGGTATGGCATGTGGAACTAGAACATTCTACTCCGGTGGTCGAAATAAAGGGTTCAGTTCGAAATTACAATCACCTGAAGAAGACTGGAGCGTACAACGACCGAAATGTCGCGAATATGGCAACAAAGATGAGGACAACAGTCTGAACAATGTAATAATAATAATAATAATAATAATAATAATAATAATATATATATATATATATATATATATATATATATATAATATTAGTGGTAAATATGCGCATACATATGCAAAATATATAAATATATATACATACATGCATATACATACATATATATGTTTTTGAATAAAAAATTCCAAGAGGATAGAATCCAGGTAGAACTCAATGTCCAGGACAGAGTAAGGATATAATAAAAAGGCTTAAACACTAATATTCCATGGTCATAATTTATTCCATTGGAATCGTAAATACTATCAATTCATCAGACCTAAAATTCAAAAAGAAAAACAGAAAAAACAACTCCGGGAATAAAAATGAAATTTAGAGAGTGTAGTATATGAGGTGTGGGACGAATGTTAGAGTAAATGAAAGCTATAGGGAGGGGTAACAGATGAGAGAAGGTGTGGGATTAAAATTTAACAGAGAGAAGTTTTAGAGAGGGGAGTCAAAGACGGTTTAAGTGAGAGAAATATGAATATATATATATATATATATATATATATATATATATATATATATATATCCAAATGAAAAAAAGACAGATGGAATAAAAATCCACTGTTCGTGGAATTTACTTTTAAAAAAATGCTCAATACAAAGTAGAGGACTATTTTATTAATTTTATTATTTAAGTAACTGGTGATTAAATGATTTTTAAGGAAATTTAAAAACAAAGTGTTACTTCTTTTGTTATTAACTTTCTTTAAAAATCATTTAATCACCAGTTACTTACCATCGCCTGAAGAAGTACAATCATAGTGTTGAAACATGAAAGCTTTTGTGTAGCGATTTCAAAATGTTTTTATTATAATCACTTATAATAAAAATACAATAATACATATGCGTGTGTGTGTGTTATTTTGTGAATCCAATTTTATTATGCTAATGTTCTTGAGGACGAAAGATGAAAATAAATTTATTCAAAGGTGACAGACTGATGTTCTACGTCACTGTCACAGAAAAGCGAATATTAATGTGAAAGAACTCGTCATGGACGCTCTGTATGTTTTAGACATGATCAAATTGCTTTGTTTAATCTATCAGCAATCAATGCCTTTCTTCGAAATGTCAAAAAATGTCGCCGTATTGCGGGCTGCTGTAGAGCATTACATTTATTTTCAGTTTAGAAAGCAATTTCAATCCACATAATACAACATGATTTTCATTTCACAGTCTTATAGCGATTTACTAAGTGTAGCATAGGTGTGGCACAAGGCCGAAAGTATGGGGCACCCAGTGAGGATCAAACTCACTACTCAGTCGTAATTGTTCTAGCGAGACAAGCTTGCTAACCATTACACCGCCACGAGGTGCCTTAGGGATTTTCCAAGCGTGGCTTAGATGTGGCACAAGGCCGAAAGTATGGGGCACCCAGTGAGGATCAAACTCACTACTCAGTCGTAATTGTTCTAGCGAGACAAGCTTGCTAACCATTACACCGCCCCGAGGTGCCTTAGGGATTTTCCAAGCGTAGCTTAGATGTGGCACAAGGCCGAAAGTATGGGGCACCAAGTGAGGATCGAACTCACTACTCAGTCGTAATTGTTCTAGCGAGACAAGATTGCTAACTGTTACATCACGTAGAATTGTCTAGATGATTTTTTAAGCGTGGCTTAGATGTGGCACAAGGCCGAAAGTATGGGGCACTCAGTGAGGATCAAATTCACTATTCAGTCGTAATTGACCTAGCGAGACAAGCTTGTTAACCATTACACCACGACGGTGTGCTCTGGCGATTTTTAAGTATAGCCTAGATGTGGTACAAAGCCGAAAGTATGGGGCACCCATTGAGGATCGAACTCACAGTCGTAACTGATCTAGCAAAACAAGCTTGTTAACCATTACACCACACCGAAGTGTCTCTTTTAAGAGTCTTATGCGTATTAACGCTTTTAAAGGTTCAGCGAAGAATGTGTGGAAAAATAAGATATGCAAAACTATCAGACCATTGGCAAAAGTCCGTGCTTAATTTTCATTGTTAATATAAAATGACCACAACTTGACACCGGCGTTTGCTTTTAGTGCCGATTTCTGGTGTGTTTGAGATTGAAACTGTTGTGGTGTCCTCCCTCTAAAGTGTCTATGTTGGACTCTTCCGCCTACTATAAGATTAGCAGGAGAGTAGGCCTTGTGGGAACAGTCGACCAAACTGTTCATTTCTGTCGAACTCTCTGCTTCGGCAGAGATGAACTCAGACGAGGCTTTGCCGCTGGGCAAAGTTTCGTCCGGGGAGGTAGACAGTCCCTGAACCCATTTAGGCGGGTTCAAAGGGAATATTTTTGGCCGAGCCTACGAGATCGGAGTGCCCACAGTAAACCGGCCTTGTGCCACATACACTCTTGTGGGGGTCTGTTAAATATTAACAGTCGACCAGACTGTTCGTAACTGTCAAACTCTGTCTTTGGCAGGGAGGAACCCGGACGAGGCTTTGCCACAGGGCAAAGTTTTGTCCGGGGAGGTAGACAGGCTTTGAACCCGTTTATGCGGGTTCTAAGGGAATATTTTTTTGGCCGAGCCTACGGGCTCAGAGAACCCACGGTAAACTCCGCCTTGTGTCACATACATCCCTCATGGGGGTCTGTTAAATATTAACAATCGAATAGATTGAACGCTGGGTCAACCGGCACACACACACACTAGTCGTGTAATACTCTTCTGTTGTATTTACTGTTTAATATATGATATATCTGTAACACTTGTTTTGTTATTTCTTTAACCATTTACTTGGTCACAACAGAAACTTTTCAGCGTTCATGCGAACACAAATGAACCTCTTAAAGATGGAGGATGAAAAATTGCAATTTTGCCATATTATACTCTATGGATTTTGGAAAGTAGTAAGCGTCGGAACTGCGACAGAAAACATTCAAAAGGTGTTGTGATGTGGGGTCTGGCAACACTTAACTCGGCCGCATCAATCGTGATAGTTGTATTCAATGCTCACTCAGCTAAACAAGTCATTGCAATAATATTATCTTCTTTTTTAAACAATTACCCAGGACTACTTATCATGAATGGATCAGTTCATTCATGATACTAATGAGTATAACTGGCTCTTGCCACAACAAAAGGTCGTGCTTCATTGCTTCGGACTGTCAAAAAGTAGTTTGGCATATTTCATCAGGTTGATTTTAGCCTAAACGATCGACTACGCTCCGGGGGGAGCTTCCGACTTCGATGAAGACACTCTGCTTGCCATCATGGACAATAAACCGAAGATTTTGACGGAAGAGATTGATAAGAGTTTGAAAATCAGTGTCTCAATTGCCTTTCGCCATTTGAAAAGACTTCGATGCCTTTCTAAACTCGACACATGGTTGCCACATTCTCTGACGGAATAAGCTTGGTCGGGTCACTGTGGTGATCTCTTTGCTGTTACGCCCCTGAAAAGGAGCCGTTCTTAGACAGAATTGTTCCAGACGATTAAAAAAGGATCGTTTATGATAACGTTTGACAGAATCAGAGCTGGAAATAAGTATGTTAGACGCTGCTTTCCTCTGTCACTCTTTCCCTCAATCTGTCCTGTGAGTACCAGATTTTCCAAGTCCTTCTTCCTCATTACGTGCTCCAGAAATTTCAACTGTCCCTTCCTGATGTTAAGTTTCTTTGTGTCTAAAACCTCGTTGTTGCTCACAATGTCGATCCATGCTATCCTCAGCATCTTTCTGTAGAACCACATTTCTGTTGCTTCAAGCCTCTTCTTAATCTTTGAGGAAATTGTCCTGAACCCCCTGCCATACAGGAGGACAGATATAATAGTTCCATATTCTTTTCTTTGTTTTCAACGAAATTTTTCTGTTTCTTAATACACTGCTTAGCTTTTAGAAGGCATCTTTAGACATCCTATCACGTCTTCGGATCTCAGTGTCGCACTTTCTGTCCTTTGTTAGAACACTTCACAGATATTTCAATTTCTGTACCTTGCATTTTGGGCTCATCCTTTACACAACTATCATTGTGTCTTGTAGTTTATGCTTAGTCCTTTATTCTGGCTTTCCTTTGCTACCTTCTGTAAGAGGTTTTGTAGTTTCCTTTTCGTGTTTGCTATCTACACTGTGTCAGTTGCATATCTCATATTGTTAAGGTTGAATGGAAAATATATTCAAACCAGAATTCTAATCATGAATCACCACAAGCAAAATATGCAATTTTATTACTCGATTCGATAAGCGAAAACTATAAAAATTGCAAATGATTACAAAAAAGGCTACTTAATAAATAAGATTTTCAGATCATAATTAATAAAGCCAAAAAATAGATAAAAGTATATATAACACTGTTGTACCCTTAAAGAGGTTACAAACAGACAAAGGTGGTACTCGAGTGAAGGAACAGCAACACGCGCGTAGATGAAAGAGGTTTATTGTAAAAGAGAATACGCTACTGAAAGACAGGGAATCGGGTGGCAGGCTATTAATTCCCGAAGCAAGGATATCTACCAACCACACCACGCGGTTAGATGTGGCATAAGGCCGTAGGCTCGTCCAAAAACTTCCCGTATAATACGGGTCGGATAGCTGTTTTCCGAGAAGAGACTACCCTTTGACATAGCCTCGTCTGGGGATTCTCTCTGTCTGGAGGCAGAGAGTTCGACCAGTACAGCTGAAGACGAATCTCCAATTCCCAAAGCAAGGATATTTACCTTACCTCCCTGCGGGACAGGATGAGGCACATGGCCGTTTTTTTTTTTTTTTTTTTAATGCGGGGCAAAACCGAGCCTGTACGCTCGGGCAAAAATTTCCCGTAGACCCCGGGTTCGGGTAGTTGTCATCCACCTCAGACGAGACTTTGCCCTTCGGCATAGCCTCCTCTGGGTCCCTTCCAGTCCGAAGGCAGATAGTACGACTAGCATAGCTGGAGACGAATCTCCAACTAATTGCCGAAGCAAGGATATTTACCTTATCTCCCCGCGAGGCAGGATGCAGCGTGTAACAGCAAAATTGTCCAAATCGTGTAACAGCAAAATTGTCCAAATCGTGTAACAGCAAAATTGTCCATTTGTTAGGTTGAAATCTGAACCGCTGTATCTTAAAAATGATTAAAGATATATTACTGGAATTCTCCGAGGTTTTAATAAAACTATTGGACTCTGTTTTGAGCAATAAGAATATATAATTACTCTCTAAGCTTAACAGAAGAATCATGATGAAATCGATCATAAATGAAAATGACATGTTCATTAATTAATCATAGCTAAGGATCGGAAGCTCATGAAGGATTGAAATAAAGTTCAAATATATATATATATATACTCCAGGATCATTTTCCAACTTATTCAAGATGATCTTCACACTCCTTAACCTTCTAACTTTCAGTCCTGGTCTAACAAGTTACCTCACTGTTTCACGTATGATTTCATTTACAAGTCTTTTTTTTTCACTGCTCTTTGAACTGTCATAGCTGAAACTCCTCTCTCACGTGCCAAACCTCTTATGGATTGAGTTGGATCTTTTCTAATTGATCTCTTTAGCTCTAAGTTGAAATGATGATCCCTCTTCCTATTGTGACCTCCTGATCCAGTTTTCCTCTCTACTGTTCCCTCTTTTTTAAAACTTATTCACCGTTCTCTTGATGGCTCTTGAATGGACTTTGAAGATGGAACCCAGAGTATGAATGTTGGTACCATTACTGAAGACCTGAATGATCTTTTTCCTCTCACCATTGCTCAGTTGGGCAGACATAGTTGGCCTGACACAAAATGATTTTAACCTGTTCTCTTTCTAGCCGTTATAAAAATATAACGGTTTTTCCAGTGATTCTTACAACAAATGGTGTCAAACATCTGAAAACCTAGAAAAAAGAACCTCAATTAGTTTAGTGGATTTTTAAGTATTAAACATTTTGTGGGGTGCATAATTATGAGGCTGCACGATTTGGACAATTTTACTGTAACACTCGGTCAAAGGGATGCAGAAAGAGATGTACATTATAAAGATATGTACGATGGACAACGGCTGATCCTCGTTTTGAAAAGGTCAAGATTGTCGTGCTTAGAGAAGCATTTCTCTCGGAAGTCCGTCCCATAAAACAACATTTCTGGGGAAGAAGTTGTCTGAGTGGAACTTCTTTCTCACAAATGAAATATGAAAGGAATTGTTCTGATGAGTTTTTCTCTTATGTACATAAACTTTATGAATTTAAGCGCAGTACTAGATTAGTGGCAAGGTAACACTATTTATAGTTGAAATGGCTAGATGCAACCGTAAGTTCTATGCTAACAGTTTCTTCTCTTGCATTTCTCACTTTGAAATCTCTCTTCCACTTTCTTGCTTTCCAATCAACTTTGATATTCAAAAATGTAAATGCAATATCAATCCTTATCTTCTATCTTCATAATTACTACTCATTTATTGTTCTCTTTGATCTCAACAGTTGAACCAGCGAATGAAGAGGGCTACGCATGATGGACATACTACAGAAGGCGTCATTCGAAATTATAACAGAGTCAGCGGTAGTCCGTTGCAATTTCATAACTGGATTCTGCGTGCCTCATATGTGCCACAAAGGAAGGTCATGAAATCAAGTGTGTGGGCCACTTTTTGGTAAGGTGAGGTTCACCTTAAACAAATTCACGCCATCGGCACTTTCTTCTACGTTGTTTTTTTCTTACCTTCAACCAACTCTTGCAAAGACAAACGGCGATGAGAAATGGATGGCGAGGGCAGGTTTTGGTGAAACTGGAAGCCTCTAGTCCTGAACCTGCACGTTGGCGCTGAATGTATTCATCAACGCCATCATCATAAAGGAAGCGACCAGCAAATAAGAAATTAAATTCTTGAATACGAGATAAGCCGCCGGAAACGATTGTTTTCTGCCCTTAATAATGTTTTTCTTTTATTGTTTCACGCTTATTATTTTACACTTGTCATGGCCTGGCAGGCCCTAGCTGAAAGGACTGGGATGGTGGGAATAAGGATGGTAGTTAGTTGGAACATGGGATATGAACATAGCGATAGAATAACGAGGCCTTCCGTATGTACTGCGAGTGGTAAATTAAAATTTTTAATTTCAGTATCCATTGCTAGATTTGAAGGAGTCTTATATATCGAAGGGTCCAATATGGTAAAATTTAAATATGGTAGTTGCCATTATAGAAAAAAAAAAAAATACGAAATTCTTATCAATAGAACCTTATCGCCTCTCCTAAACATGAGAACCAATTTGACATTTTTAAACTCGTAAAACAAATCCAGCTGTTACGATGAAAAGGTTATAGAAGCGTCAATGGTTTACTTGAGATAGACATCTTATCTCTTATTGGCGGCCATTACCTCGGAACATCTCGAAAGCGTAAGTTGTTTTTCGTCTGTTTCTATCAATTTTTAATTTCTTTTATCTTTGTTTCGTTTTTAGCCAAAAGAATTCGGCTCTTGACTCTTGAATCTTTTTTGCTAAGACCGTTTTGTTAAAAATGGAAATGATGGGCCCTTTGCTATTGTTAGGGTCGCACAACAGTAATACCTTGATATATTTCATCCTTAACATTCTCTATGCCATATCCATTCAGGACATGAACGATCATGGCTTTCCACAACTTCCTGTATTTTGTTGTTTCAAGTAGTTTTTGCCCAGTTACCATATTTCCTTTTTCCCTTGTTCTGCTATACATTAGCTGACGGTTTACGGCCATATCGCGTTGAAACGCCCCTACGATCACCAAAGTTAAGCAACGTCGAGCCTGGTTGGTACCTAGATGGGTGACCACTTAGGAATACCAGGTGATGTAAGCTTGGATGCTCGAAGCGATGGTTTATGGCCACATCACATTAAAACACCGATTCTCGTACGATCACCGAAGTTAAGAAACGTCGAGCCTGGTCAGTACCTAGGCGGGTAACCGTTTGGGAATATCAAGTGCCGTAAGCTTGGATGTGCGAGTGGTGCAATGGATAATGTCCCGGAATGGTTAATCGGAGAGCCGAGTTCCAATTCTCATTGGGTTCGTTATATTCACTTACGCGGATATACCCTTGGGAAATATATGAATCTACATCTTCTTCGCTCCAGCTATGGGTTAATTAGTAAGTCTTGTATCACTAAACCATTATTATTTACACTATTTATAAGAACTAGACGATATTCCTAGACATGAGCAGTGGAACGAGAACAGTCTGCCCCCATAGATTAAATAAAGTGTTCAATTCAGAATTCCCTGATGAAGGCCGGAGGGAACAACGGCCGAAACGTTGTCATAAAAAAAGATGAGGATAATAGTCTGTATGTAAGTAGTGTAAATAATGATAAATTCTCATCCCTGAAATTCAGGCAGATTCATCCATTATAAATTGTATTAATATAATGATAAGGTATTTGATCATTATATACATATTTATATTATATTTGATCAGGTATTTTATATTATAATTATAAAATATATTAATCTAAAACTAAAAGAATTTTTACAGTCGAAAAATATAATCACCAAAGGGTTGATAAACCAGAAAACGAATCAGTCAATATCCACTAGATCCAACTCGGGGTTTTTCTCTGCTTTTCTTAATATCGACATGTTTTGTGAGTGTCAAATACTCTAAGCCGACTTCCCCCTTTATCTATCCGGGTATTTTTTTTTTTTATGTCTCATTTTGATGATTTAGTATGAGTTTCTTTGAAATTCCATTTTTTTCTAAAAACTATTTCACCCTCTGTCCATAGTATTCTAAGTATTCATCTTGCACATTTACAAATCTTCCCATTCGTCAATGCATTGAATATTACTGCCATATCTGGTCAGGTTCTCCTGTTACTCATTTCGAGGTTCTTGGGCAAAAGCCAAAGACTGACTTGGCATCTCGACTTCAGTCTCTTTCTCGCCAACGTCAGGTGGCTTCCCTCTGTCTTTTCTATAAATATTTTAATGGCAACTACTTTGACGAACTTTTCTTCTCCTGATGTCCAAACTAGATGAATTTAAGTACTTTCGAAGACAATGTCTCCATCATCAGGCTGTAATTTTTTTCCTTTAAAGTTAAAACTTGAAGACGAAATAATTGTTTGTAGATCGAAAGATGTTTTTAAGAATGTGCTATTTAAATTAAAGGAAAAAAATTACAGCCTGGCGATGGAGACGTGGTCTTCGAAAGTACTTGCTTACCTTAAAAAATATACACAAGAAACATCTGACAACAGTTTTATAAATGAGGATCACATCATTCAATGGATTAACAGTATTTTAATGCATATATTATGTTCTACTAGTGAAGTGATTTCGCCATTAATCGCATTAATATTGCTGATTGATTCTATGTATGATTATTTCTTTATATATAAAATATATGCTGCCTAATATATATATATATATATATATATATATATATATATATATATATATATGCGCAAACACAGATACAAGGTACGATGGGTAAATTGGCACTATTTTATATTTTTAATTTCGTCCATGCGCGTTATTTGTTTTTGATTTTGTTGACTGCACAGTATAGTAGGGTCAGTTGGGCACCGTCTGTGAGAAAAAGAGCACCATGACACAATTTACTTCGCCAGAAATTTGGAAACTGCATGCTGTACTGCTTGGCATTTGCGCCGGAAGCTCGAATACAAACATTTCAGAGTATTTGGGTGTCAATCTGAAGACAGTGCAGAGGATTCAGAAAGAGTTGGATGAGTCTAATGGTGATTACGAAGGTACGGCAGCTTTGAAAACTCATTCTGATTGTTCTGATAAAAAAAGAAACCCCGATTTTGTTGGTGAGGCCGTCAGACTCAACACAGGCCTGCATCAAGTGTCTTGAGGCGGTAGTGCTGTCTCGGGCCAAGAGAGTGGCTGCTGGAAGATCCTAGGTCTGGCAACATGACTTTGTACCATGCCACACAAGGAGGAGAACCCAATCATAGCTGTCTCACAATTTCTGCGATCACATCACCCCTAACATGTGCCCACTTAACTCCCCAGACTGCAACCCCCTTCATTATTACGTGTGGGTCGCAGTTGAGCGAGAGACAAACAAAACTCTTTGTAACACCAAAGATGAAGTAAATGCAAGGCTTATGGCTGCATTCACCAATTTAAACAAGGAGATTGTCCAGAAGAGTTGCAAGACATTCCAAAGTCATCTGAAGGCCAGGGTTGAAGCCAATGGTTATTTTATTGAATAAAATTACTTTACTATTTCAAGATATTTATGTATAATTTTCGTAAATGTATATGTTAAAATGAGATATCAGTGTTATTTTCAGTTTTGCGTAATTTAAACAATTCAACCATCCTATATATATATATATATATATATATATGCATTAGTAATCTAGCCCACCCACAGGGTTTTGTTCTTTGCCTATTTTCTTTCTCGTCTGTGAAGGTGTAGTTATCCACGTTTTTTAAATGAAATTATTTTGTTTTATTTTTCCCCAATGATGCTTAAGGCTTCTGATATACATTCACAGGTTATATAAAACTCGTCATAACTTCTTTCATTTGCGCTCAGTTCGTCTGAAGATCACGTGAGCATGAAACTCGGATTATGACTAGGGCTATCCTTTCATAGGATTTAACGCTGTTAAGCGTTTTTTTGTTTTACTGAGTAGGTAGGTTGGCCCTTAGGCTTTTTTCTTCTTTTTTCAGTATTATCGTTGGAGACTTTATCTAGATAAGGCTTTTACGTTTTGGCAAGTTTCCGTTGGTTTTATCAGCAGTTTTCTTTTTCTACTCCACCAACCAAAAAAACAAAAAAAAAAACAAAACTATTATCTGCAGCAGCTTACGCATTAAACACATCTGTTCTCACAAGGAAGATTACAAAATGCACATGGGACAACTTTACAATCACTTTCTTAATAGGAATTACCGATTCAAAATAATCAAATAATCTATTGCCAAAGCTTCCAAACTTAGCAGACACGCACTCCTCAACTATGTAACTAAAAAGAATTCCAGAATCCCCATCTTTTATTTTAATTATAACATCCACAAACTTTCCTACACTAAAGATTTCCAACATTTAAGACTAGACATTACAATCAGTAAATTATTTAACGATAACCCTCTACACACGAGGCGGCAGTCACCCCCCCCCCCCAACCTCTTCAGACTTTTAACATCATCCAACATCTGCAACATCTCACCCCACCAAGGGAATATCACCTGCAACAAACCCCGGGCGCCTGATCTGTAAACACATCACCACTCACATTTACACACTCACATGATATTCAAACCACTGGCTCTAAGCTGTCACAGTTCCGATCTCGTATATTTACTTTTCTGTTACAAATGCGAGAAGGGAATTATGTGGGAGAAACCGAAACAGAATTCCGTTTACCGTTCAATAACCACAAGATAAACATCAGGGACAACAACAACAATTTAAACCGGTCTCTGTACACTTCAACCAACCTTGTCACTACATCGACGATGTCGGATGCATGCTTTTAGCGTCTTGGTTCGGTAGCCGACAGACGCAGATCAGAGTTGAAGTATATCCTCAAAGTAAATTCCCACATAGAGTGACTAAACAGGAATTTGGGTTTACTCAGAGAATATAATTTCCACCGGGAAACCAATTATCAACAACTCCACTCTTTAGATGAGTAGCCTTCCACACACATTTAAACTCTTAAATTTAACAGCCATCACCTACCTACTGTATTTTTACGTTCTACCACCTATGATTTCTCTTATGTCGCACTATTCAATAATAGAAGTGTTGCCCTGTACACTGAGGGCTGCTTTCCATTCACCATCTTTTATACCATGGCTCGTTTACATATAAGCTTGTGCAAGGAGTGGGAAAGGTTAGTGTAGATATATATTAATCTTGTATATGTATTTATATCTTTACGTATGTTGAGATTCATATGTTTGTGTGATGGTTTATGTTGTGGATTCCGGGATGAAATCCGGTCTCAAATGAATGACAAACGCAGGAATGAAATATAGCAAATAAATGTATTGACAGAATAATACAATTGGTAATACGGTTAGTAGATACAGAAATGCGGTTAGTAGCAATAATAATATATATACAGTCTGGGAAATTCAGTATCGAAGTATGACTTCCTTCTGAGTCTACGTGCTTGTAACTGGGACTCCTACAAAGCGGTTACCTCACACTCTCACTGTCTAACTATCTCACTGTTGGGTATTCACCGGCAGCAGTACAAGTACACACTGGGCGAGTCCACTTGTATATAAAGGGGTGGACCCCTTAACAGTTTATGTATGTGCATCTATGTATGTATACACATTTCCTCAAAGTTTTTCCTTTATTTTTTATTTTCTGTAACGCCCACCATTTTGTTATTTTTATCCAAATTTTCATCCATTTTTCTTTTGTTCCTTCACTTTTTCTTCTCATTTTATTCAATAATATTTGATTATTAAATATTCCATTTTTCATCCTCATTTTTTTTTCAACACATCATATTCTAAACACAGCAAGTCTTTCTAAACTTGACAACACAATTTTAGCTACAACTTGCGACACACAAGACATCTTTCCCCCTCCCCGACCTATAACTCTCTTCATCTATGTTTACACTCTCACACCTCACGACACACACTCGTAAAAATAGACTTGCCTAACGCTTTTACGCCGATCAAAATTATAAATGTAAGTTTATTTTTATAAAAAAAAGTTTTGCAGAAATCGGGTTTTTGCTAACAATATGATTTCCATTGGAAAATACACCATCTACAAAAATATCTGTCAGTGAGTAATTCCCATTTCTGTTTATTCCTCGGTCCGCTGATAAAGGACACAGGCGTGTCCGAAAATTCCGAACTTAAAACCTTTCTCTGCTTCATTTCTGTCATATGTTTAATAATTAATATTTAATAAATGTTTATTGTACTGATTATATTGATACCCTTCCGTTTGTCCTTGTTTTATTAACTAATCTATCTGTCTA